CCTCTCCCCCCCCCCTCCAACATTGCCACAAATAACTCCTATTGCCTATTGGCAGGTTTTGTTGATACGGTGTTTGCTCTTTCCACTTCAATTCATACTCTTGTTTTAATAACTGAGAAGACCAAGTGAACTTGCATGATGCTCAGTAGCTACAGCCCTAATACATGTAGTTGAAAACGCTGAGGCCAAGTACTAAACATTTTGCCTATGATGATTTTAAGTTATCCCACCATTCGACTTTAACTTGAATGTGGTAAGAGAGATAGTATTTTCAAGAATTCCCACAGCTCACTAATGTTGGTTTAGCCTCTCGTTAAGGGTTGAAAGACGACTTTATCGAATAGCATAGGCCGCGGTATGAACGACTTCAATGAACACAGAAGATTCAATCAAGTATCTGTCATACGCTTCCTGTTGATAGCGAACAGTGGGGTGAGTTTGTCATAAAATGCTGGATAATTGCGATCAGAATAGAAATGTGTACTCTCATGAGGTCAATGAATTCTTCGCACCTCAATCCACCTGAACGATGTGTTGATTGAAGACAAGTCCCTCCACATCAGCGAGAATTATACGATTTCTATTTAACAAATAATCTAGCAATTGAATTATCAACATTCGTGAAGTTTTAATATACCGTATTTTGAGCATTGCGCGAGGCCATTCCGGAAAGATCAGTCTTACTTTTTGATTACATTAGAGAACGTCTGTAATCGTGAGCGTGGAGACCGTTCGTTAAATCAATAATCAATCAATAATACCGATATGGGCTGTGCAGCCAAAAAAGGCTTGTGATGAGCAAGCTCCTTGTCTGAAGCACACAATATGTCTGTTGTTGAAGTAATTTAGCTAACTTCGATAACTCAAGGTCTATTCGTGTACCAATCCGCAACAACAATGATGTTCATTGATAATAATAATAAAAATGTTTATTTCTATACTTAAATTCAGACCAATTCTGTTTCAAGTTTTTTGCTGAATAAAAAATTCGCTTAATATTTTTGTCAATTTCTTTTAAACTTCTAAATCTTGATTTAAAATGCAAAACTTGAGTAAAAGTCATATTTTTATCTCCATATTACGATTGTGAACGTTTTTCGATATGTAAGTTTCATTTCGTTTAATTTCTTCCTTAAAAATTTTGCAAAGGCATTTCATTTGAACTCTTCGATTACAAAGAAGTCTTGTTAAGATTTCTTAGCGGTAAAAGTATACCTTTAATCCTCTTGAAAGAATACTGAAATGGGCTGTTCGAGTTTAATAGCAAATTATGCTCATATGTTTCTTTATGTGAAGAAACTCTACGAGTTGATCAAGCCTAGACTTGATAGAATTACACCAGAGAGCTAACTACCTTCCCCCAAGATTCAACGCCACTTTTCCCGAAGTAGAAAAACTGGAATTTTCATGAGTTAGAGGCGGCTAAAGACGAAATGAGTAGGAAGAGGAGTCTGGTAGGGAGGAAGGTATCGATACCGAACAAGGTCAACCTGGGTCAGATAAAAAATACAGGGGGCATGGGAGAACGTTGTGAAATGCGATATTGACAGATGGTGATCTCCTTGTTCGTTGATGAGCAACCAGTACTTCGGACAGGGATGGGTTTCAGAAGTTTCACGGTGTAAATTTAGACTGAATGGATCAATGAGTTAATTCTCCCCATAAAATAGTTATAATGTGCTTGATATCGATATTACTAAAACACCATAGATTGCGCGAATCGATAAGAACGACAAATTTATGGCTAGAGATCACTCATACAAATTCGCTTTTAGTTCAAAACGCTTTGTCTGCGCAATTCTTTGCTTGCTTCTCTAACTCAGTTACATCCCCCAGGGCCAAACGGAAAATAATCCAAAGGGCACTGAAGTGTATTTCCGAACTGCAGGACGAGACATTTCAGGGAAAATCAATGACATTCAAAAAATTGAGCCGCCTGTTAAAGAATTCGAGAAGTCGGGGGCATATAGGCACACTCAGACAAAAATTTGTAGAAGTTCTTATTAATTGCATTGATTCCGAAGACTACCAGTCGGAAGTCTACCACAAATCCTTATATATGCTAAAGCGATTCGTCCGGTTACCTAAATTAGGTCTTACGGAACGCGAATTGGATCTTTTCCTGAAACAGTTCAGTAAAGTTGCGCTCGACCCCAAAGCAATCCTATCTATCATTGCATTTTGTAATGTAGGTATAACAATGATGATCGCATTAAATGCATTTCAAATATATATCCCTTTTTTCTTCCTCTGTGTAGATACTTGTCGAAGACCAACGTTTACATAGAGGGTCAAAGTACCAATTCAAGATTATAAGAGCAGCATTACTTTTCTTACGACTCAATTTTTTGGCTGGCATTACCATTCTTAGGAACATTGACAGACTCATCGATGCCGTTTGGATTAATACGGCAAAAACAGATCTGCGTACAAGGAGTGCTTACGTTTCGGGTCATTTAGAGTTACTCACATCTCAATTTCGACTAATGATTACTCACACGATAACTCGATTAAGAAAAGAAATAGTTTTGCCAATAGAAGGTTACAAATATACTATTACCTGTTCCGATTTAATTCCCAGCATATTAAAAGAATTTAACGTCTTCTGTTTGAAGGGGATAACTTCAGATTTAAAAGGAGATTTCGCAGATATTTTGTCCTTCACCCATCCACTAATTGATGTATTCGATCAATTAAGAGGTAGGCCACTACACTTTATCGCATTTTTACTCTTTTGCTATTTCCTTTAAATATTGAATTTATCATTTTAAGTGAGATCCGAAATTACCTCCAATTATATTGCGAACCTGCATGACTTCTGTGATATCATATACTACGTAGGCTCTGTAAGCAAAACAGGTTTGGATGCTTTCATACATCCAGAGAGCAAGGTGTCGTCATCTTTGACCATATTGCTTCTCCAAGAATCAAACAGTAACTTGACGTTAAAGGCGCTTTTCATCCTGGAAATGATTATCAACATTGTGTCATCTTGGAGTGACCGAGAGTTTTTTTCGAGCTCGAATGTGGATTTGGAAGAACTACATAATTTTGGTATAATGAGAAGGGCAATTGACACTATACATCAAAATGACATGGGTAAAATTGGAGTATACACTGATAGAATGACTCAAAACACCAATTATTGTTTTTTCTTTCCAAATTCAGACGCACTGAAGGTGGTCCTAACTCAGTGTCCCTTTAATGATTATCGGGATTATCGAGGTCAAACAATTTTACAGTGGGCGGCATCCTATGGAACAGCTGAAATGGTTGAATTTATTTACTCGAATCTGCCTGATGACCACAAGTATGATCCAGAGGCACTTTTGCTAACTGTGCTTCGGCATCGTATGGATAACTGTCGGACTCTACTACAACACAGGGAAGTTGTAAGTGACGGTGACGTGTCGTCAATTCTCCTAAGATCTGGCAATCTTTCAGTGGCAGAGAGGAATGAAGTGGAAGTTCTAAGGAGAGCCGGTACTTTGCATTCAAAGGTGTAACTTTAAGTGGAACCAGCATAAGCCAATGTCATGAATTTGTTATTTCTTTTAAGCTCAAGGTGGAAGTCGGACCCCAACTGGAGAGGATCCACAAGCACCCGCAATGGAAAATCTTCAGACAGAGGGTAAATCATTTCTATATATATATATATATATATATATATATATGACTTAATCTACAATTAATTGAGTTAGTTGCATTTAAAAACAAAATAATTACCTATTGTTAAAGTGGAATTCGACCAAGATGATTCTCAAGTACCTAAAACGAAATCAGTGAGCATGATGGTGTACATCTTTGTGACCGAAATTATACCCGTTTTGATAACTGCACATAATCGTTCAAGCAATCCCACTATCAGGTGAATTTGATGAAAGTAAATAATAAATAAGAGATTAGATTGTTGTGTATTGATGCATTTTTTTGTTTTTTTATCTTTTGCAGGCGGATTGCAATTTACCAAGTTCGACGATTGATTGGGTTACTACCAGTTCATCATCTGGAATTTATTAATGAGCTGACATTCCATGGACGAGATCTTTGCCACTGGCTTTGCGGTCTCATTAATACGTCATTTTGCCATGATGTTGGATTGGCTTGTGAGGAATCGGTGTTACTTTACAATCAACTTCTCTTCATGGATTCCAGATTCTATTATGACTTGTCAAAGCTATACAATTTCAAAACTTCCCTTGAATACCTCCGAAATCAGCAATTGTTTGGGATACTTCAACATCTAGGCCTATTTGAAGGTGAAAGGAATGAAGCCAATTCGGTAAATAATAAGCATCAAGAGGTATACTGTTAACCGATAAATGGTGAATTTTTTTTCATTTTTGGGATATCCTTTTTTTTGTAGATCATTTCCAGTCTTCAAAGTACCTATCATGTGCAATTTTGTGATTGGTCAGTTTTCAGACTGGGTGAAGTCCTTTTAATTTACAATGATGTTGCAATCTGTGTACTTAAATACGATGGTATTAATGGGATCAGCAACGCGTGTGTATATACTACTGAAATAGGAGATGAAATTGTCACCTGTTCAAGTCCTGTTAGAAGGAGTGAAATAAACAGTAAGTCATCTTGTACTTTCAAAGTTAGAAAAAAAGCCTTTTTTATTCAAAATTTTCCTTTTTGAAGGCATAGCACATCAGCTAATATATTTAGTAGAGTTCGTTAGAAAAATAAACAACCCAAGATTGGAATCAGACGTACGGCGACATCATAAAGAGACCACGCCAGCGAATTCCTCGAATAAGAGCAGCCATCCTTTGCCATCGACTTCAAAGGCATTTCATCCAAACACTATCCACTTGTGTCGAATAAGAGAAACAATGGTATCTATGGAGCCATTTGAAATGGAGTTCTTTCAAGCAGAAAATGAAGAGTACTTCCTTCGAGTCAAAGTGGGCAATGAGAATTTCTTCCTCTTCTCAGAATCGCCTTCTTATACTATTTACCATGTCCGTGAATATCCCATGCAAATCAAAATGGAAGAAGGTACACCAGTGGTGAAGCAGTTCCAAATTAATGAAAGAATTTATCGAGTTGATTATGAATCTGGAAGTTTGACCGAATCACTACCATTTACACAAACTTTATCGTATGAGATGAAAATTTACTTCTCTTACCATAATGACCCACACGAAATTATTGTTTCCTCTATATTCTGCATGTTTTATTTTAGTTCTCCAAGATGGTTAATTCGACAAGAGGCAGAAGTCCCATCCAAGTTGAGTATTATTGCTAACGAAATATCTTCTTTATTGTCTATTAAAAACGAGGGTTATGAGCTTGAGTCCCTAAAGAAAAGCTTTTGCAGATTAAAAAAACAACTTTTAAAGGATCCCATCACTATTACCACGAATGTGGTCATCACAAGTGGCATTGTTCGAGTTCTTTTGCAATGTTTATCAATTTCCCCTTCCACTACCAAATCAGATGTGGTAAGTAGCTAGGCGTCAATTGATTGAGAATTTAATGTGGGTGTGGATAAGGTTTACCTTAATCTTTTAGAATGATGAATTAACACAGATGGATCGGCTAGATGCTCTAATGAAACGTCGAGAAGTCTTCCTCTCCGTATTCGATCACGAAATAGCATTTTATAAGCTAATTCAATGCATTAAAGCAGCATTTGAGGAAATTGAACACTTGCCGCTATATTTATTTAACCACCTGCAATCTTGCAGAGCAATAACAGAAGATAGCCTTGGAATCGATGATAAAGAAGTAACCCATGTATCGTATCAGAAGGTTGGCAGTGAGGGAGGTATAGAATTCGATATTCTTCGACTTCTTTCTCATTTCCTCTACACACAACGCTCCAATAGTAATCTCGAATTACACAATCCTTTATTCACTTGGAATGCTGACCTCTGCATGGAAGACTCCTCGATGCCGATAAAGCTAAACTTTAGAAATCCATTTTCGCTGAATCAGGTTCAAAGAAATCGTAACTTCAACTTCCTCCTACATTGGTAGTTCGAATTGTTTGCCAAGTGGATTTTGCTTTTAAACAGTCTACTTAGCATCACAACATGTATTGCATTTATTTCAGGTCAGAGACTAGCGAAAATATAGGGTCTTATATGCTATATTTGGGATCTTACCCATTTAAACGAATTAACCTTGCGGTGCCCTATATCCAGTGGCTGAGTAGCTCTGGAGAGACCAGAAGTAATTGGATTGACGCGGTATACAGAGGCTATATTCGAGCCTACTCCTTTCTTCCCAACTCTCAGGGTGTTTATCACTCTGGTGTAGATATTCCACTCTTGAGATCTCCATTTTCAGAACAATGCATCGTGTGCAAAAACAAAGCTATCACAAACTCTCACTTTCCTGATATTGATTTTGATATTTGTTTTATGAATCTTCAAGTGGGGGCACGGTATGTGATTGACTTGCGTGCTGATCTTGTTCTGCACTGCTACTGCCTGACCACTCTTAGAAATGTAGATAAAAATGAGGATATTGTAAACTGGTGTCTACAGGTATATCTTGTTTTTAGTTTTTGGCAAGCTATATTCCATTTATCTAATAGGCATCTAATGATGGAAAAAGTTGGATCACGCTAAAAGTGCACAAAAATGATAGAACTCTCAACTCAGAGGAACCAGTGATCTTTGAAATAGAGCATCGACTGAGCTTTCGTATCTACCGCATCATGGATTTGTCTCCCATAAATCAACAGGGTCGACTGCATGTTTGTGGACTCGATTTCTACGGTACCATTGTACGATTTCACCGCAAGGTTAGTTTTATTTCAACAAGAATAGAGTGTGCCTTGTTAAGTAACGCTTTTATCTATGCTGTTATAATACTAGCGAGGACAGTTCTCGTCGAGATATTCGATCCGCTCAGTAGCTACAACTTTTGACCTTGTTTGCTAGTACCAAAACTGGTTCGGGCAGTGAATATACCCTGCATTTAATGCTTATTTTTTAGCCACTTGAATTAAACGTTTTGGCCCAGGTTCCAGAATCAATACGATATGATACACCCTCGGAGGTCCCAACGGTAGCCGAATTCTACATGACGAATCTAATGAAATCAATTAGAGATGGCGAATTTCACGTTCATCCTAGCGGTTTTTCCGGTTCTGTATATAACTTAGCTACAGGCTGGTCAGCTGAAAGTAGTCATGAACGTGTGGGTTACAGCCACATGCAACTGCTGATCTCACCATTAACAAAAGATTACCTTAGAATTGCTCAAAAAATGCAATGTAAGCGTTCGTCAGTATTTTTGTAATGTACTCTATTGTTTAATTATAAGTATAATAATTGAAAGGTGCATGCCATGAAAGTTAAGATAAATAAAACACTGTGACACCCAAATGAAAGGTCAGGAACATTCAACTACTCGTCCTAGTTAACTTAGAATGAGAAATTATTGAAAATGTGGGACGGGTCAGATATTCTGTGTGCGGCTTTATTAGACGTTAAATACTTTACGAAGTTCCGTTATCCCCTTCGCTCCCATTGTATTCCAGACTGAGACATTCAGTTGTGTATACACCTCTCCTTCAAGCATTCGAGTAAATGGCGATCTAGTACATATTCTCCAGTTTTGGGGCTCACTTTCGTTCCCCCTTAGATTTAAGCCTAGTCAGTTTTCAATTCGTCGGTGGCAACGTACTTAGTGGCTATAATTCAGAAGAAAAGGAATGTAGAGAGAATATACCTATTGGCTTAATATTGTGAAGCATGAGTAAGTATGGAATAATCTCGGCACATGTTTAAGTTGGTTATAACCACTAAGTAGCTGGCTGTACTATAATGTTCTATCGACCTAGCAACGAATAGTGTCTTCATACCTACTCACGTGCTATCCTATCATTCCTTTAGTTTAGTGTAAAACTAATCTCTACAGAAAGATTCCCTTGACAGACCTTCCAGCTTGCATTTGAGCTATTCTTTGACGAAGTCGACAATCTAGGCTAGGGTCCCCAGACGAGAGAACACTAATCAGAAGTAGACATGTGTGTGAAATGGAATTCGGAAAGGAGATAATAAATTTGGAATAGGAGCGGTGAAGCCTTATTGCTAAATGAGTGGAAAGTGGTTTGTGAATAAAAAAACAAGTAAAAATTCATTGACAATAATCGTCAATAAATGACAAATAATAATCCTCGTCTTAGGTTGCGGTTAGTTTTGTCATTATTTGATGTCCTAGTCACCAATCGATAGCACTGGTTTGCAGCAAGAGCTGTGTATTGAAAAATGAATTGTTGATTTAAGCAAAACTATTGAAATTGGAACCACTTAACAATGAAAGTGGGGGTACTTTGGACAGTAGGTATAAATTATCCACAAGCAGATTCAGGAGATGATTTTACTTCCCTAGTGTTTGGTTGTGTGTGCCGGCGTAACGGAGTCAATAGACTTCCGATCGAAATAAAACCTGTGAAACACCATTTCGATCGCTGATTGTGTACTGTCGGGAATCGATTTGATTACCTCTAGCTTCGAAAACGAAAGCCATTTTCTTCCTTTTAAGATTTATTAGTTCAATTATTGTAAACTTTTATCGACAGATGATGTATTTATGGCTTTCGGGAGCTGAAGCTATCCCCATTAACCTAACTTTTTGTTGAAGAATTTAACGGGGCCTTCTTTGTTTGTAATTGAACAATGAAAATTTTTATTGACATCGGTAGACCGATGGACCAAAAAGCAATATGCCTGAAATACAAATCACTTGTCTGGCAGTATAATATATATTTGATTCAAGTGATTTTTCAACTGCCATAGTTCTTTATTGAAAATCACAGACAGCGTAGTCAACCAATTATTTCATTTTTATGAAATTTAATTAGCCCAATGGCCAGTGTGGCGATTACAATTCGAGTTGGTTGTCAAGCAACAGAATGGAGACGACATCGCATCATATCCCATTTTCGACTTGAGACAGCCCTTATTTACCTATTTAGTAGTAAGTACCTTTTAAGTACTATCGAAAAAGCCTGGAGCCATAACATTTATTTGTAAAATGTATTTAAAATATTGCTTTTCAGAGCCTTGTTGAGCAATTGGTGTTGAAGAGGATTAGTATTAATACGCTACGAGATGCAAAACTAATCATAAGGATGAAATCTGCATCTCCAACAGAAAAGGAGGACCTCAAACAGGAGGTAAGATCTAATTGGAAAAATTGCTTGATGGAAGCAAGTTAACTTAATAACCTAATAAGCTCAATAATAAATTAAATTTGACCAATTTTGTTAATATTATTCACCGAAAAGTGGACGAGCAAAAGGGGAGGATTGTTATCAGACGGGGACTGGAATGTAGTGACCCGGCGGAACGAATTCTGCCACTCAATTCCAGGGAAAGCAACCAAGAAATGTGTAAACAAGGAGGCGGCAGAGGATATGCTGAAATTGATCCAATTACTTCACCAACTCTTCCGATCCAGAGTCGAATCTATGAAAACTGATGGCAGGAACGATTTCATTTCTGAGCATATCACTCGTAAAATCAAGCGTCAATTAAATGATAACGTAGCAGTAATGACCGGCCCTACTTTCCCAAATTGGTGCTTTAATCTGCTTCAAAAGATGAATTTCCTCTTCACATTTGAGTTTCGCCTTGAAATTTTCAGAGCCTGTGCATTAGGACCTGCAAGGTATATTTGTGATCAACAATATTGTACTTACTTAATTTAAAGAACGTTAGTGGGTTAAGCTGAAGTCATTTAAGTTTAGGCGGAAGTGAAACGCAATTTCATTCTTTGAAATTTGGAGGTCTGGTTTTGAAACTTGCTCAAGTCAAAGAACGTTTATCGATGTTTCTAGTCAATTTAAAAGCTATCAGCGTTCATTAAAAACAGTTTTGGAAGCATATTTGCAGAATAGTTAAATGTATGAACAAGGGAAAGATCGCAATTCAAGACCAGTTAAACAAACCATTATGACACACGATATTTCAATCTCATAGAACGAATTTACACTTTTGAGCTCGAAGAGAATCTTTTAAAAATAATAAGAATTCTCGAAATGAGGACTTATTTCCATTAGGTCGGATTTAATCAGAGGAGGTAGAAACGGAATTGACTAGTGGTCAATGTGCCCGTCGATTGATGCTATTTGATTCACTTCCAGAAGTTTTGACGGCGTTTCCATAGCAAGAAAGCGTAGCAGGATAAGAAGCTCCCACAAGCGTGACTCCAGAAAATCCACTTTCTGCTGAAGTCAAGCCACCTTAGAAATTTAAGTATTCTTATTCAATGCATGCACCAAATCCAGAGTTTCAAATTGACACGAACTACCATCTTTCTACATTAGTCTCCAGAATTTGTATGATTGAGTATCTCATATTCATAACAATGACTTTTATTCACCTAGGTTGGTCTAAACTTAGCTCTCATATTAAGCTTTATTCGGGGGTCCCTTTAAATCCGTGTAAACTCAAAACTTTGCATTAGCAACGTCCTTGGTGGCATGCAGTAGAGCATGCACCGTAGTTAACTTTCTATGACAAAACTCAAATCAAACGCTTCATGTGAAGATGGCGTTACCTTAACTACTTGTTTGACATTCTGAAAGGAGATGCAGATTTTATAATCTATTGAAAACGGAGTACATAATCAATTAAAATTTTTTAAACTCAATCACTGATTACCAAGTAATATTTTAGGTCAATGAAGTGGATTCAAGACAATGGGCAAAAGCAGGATCCAAAATATGCCAATGATCACTTCTACTCATATCTGCCCTACTCCATAAACCCCATGTTCGAAGACTTGGAAAGTCTAAGCTTTCGTCAAACTTTTAAGGAAATCTACTTTTGGAACCAAGAAGCAGTGGTAAGAGTGGCGTATTTTTTTAAGTAAAATGTTTTATGACAGAACATTTTGTCGGGTACACACAACTTTGTCTCGTTTTAGGACGGAACAATTGTCACAGACTGCACAAAGATAATCCGAAACCTGACTGAAGGTGACAATGCTGGAGTATTTTTGAAGTGGGCGGAAAGAGTTTTGGAGGAGAACGCAGACAGAATGACAAACCTTACAATAGGCTTCAATGGTTAGTGGGGTGCGGGATTTATTGAAATATAAGGGAACCTTGATGTGCGTTGTAGCTAGTCTACGCAGTGCAATAACTAATGATCTGAACTCATTAACATAAATTAAACGAGATTTATTTATTTACTTCAAATGGCAGGCTTTATGATATTT